TTGGAATTAAAAAATATAGATAAGCATACCCCTGTATTTTTTAAAACTATCCAATGTTGTTATCTTATTGCTAAAACAATGATAATAAATTAATCATTAAAAGTTGTAATGCCAGTTCATCGGTCCGTTTTCAATGCAATGATGATAATTAATTGATATTTAAATTTGTAATGCCAGTTCATCGGTCCGTTTTCAATGCAATAAGGTAACTGTTATTTATCTACTTCAGTCTGAGTACTGTTTAACTATCATTTGAGTTGAACATATTAAGACTCGTCTAATTCAGGGGAATATGTCTCCTGCAAGTGTTTTTTTTCTGTGGGCGCTTTTCTTATGTTTAAAAAAAAAATTTTGAAATCCGCGAGCCCGAAGGGCGAGGTGATTTCAACTGCCCTTATTGTGAGGAGGTCTTTTAATGTCAACATTAACTTAATTATTGAACTTTTTATTTATATATAAACTATGTATGTTGTCTCATTGGGACTTATACCACATCTTTTTATATCTATGCGAACTGCAATGAATAAAATCGTATCAAAAAGGCTAAATGCAACATCTGTAGTATCAAATTTCGTAGGTTTGAGTGGCTCGATCAAAACGTGTATAGATGAGATATTTTCGCAAGGTTAATCATCATTCTTAAAGGAGCACTAGCTACGAGATATATTCAAAAATATGAAAATGATTTTTTTTCAATCCTTAAAGAAAGTGAAATAGTGAAACAATATATCGCTTTTAGCAGCCAGTATGGTTCAATTTTGTCAAAACAAAGCTTAGAAATATTGATGATGAAGTTTTCTCTCGCAAGTGAAAAATTCGACCTCATTGAATCCAACTTCATGTGAACTTCAATTTAACCCCTTAGCTAGAGATGGATACCACATGCAATGTGCGTGTTCAATTATTTAAAGGAAAAGAATATCAACATTGAAAGTAAAACGAAGGTAAATCATTTGATTGACTGATTCGATCCACAAAAAAATCATTCTTGTACAGGTTACAACAATGAATAACTTATATTTTTAAACTATTATATGAAATAAAACAGACTTAGAAAAATCCAAAATGCACGAGACTAATATCTATTTATGTCTATATTTATGGTTATATCGCTTATATGGCAATCGGAGTTCTTCGGAGGTAAACTCAACAGTTAATTAGATGGCTTCTAGACTAAAATACACACGAAACGAAGCTTCATAATTTCGAGCCCATGTCTGATATATTGTTTATAATAGACTTTTTATTATTTGAATGAATGTTTTACATTGTCATAAATCAAATATAAGAATTTGAGTCAAATCGGTGAACATGAATTTGACAGCTAGTGCCCCTTTAAATTGGAATACAATATGTTATATGAAAAGTACGGAAGCGTATTAAGGTAATGCTTTTCTATTCTTTTTTCAAATTGTCGACTTGAATCTTGGAATTATCAACTTTAATCTTGAAATTTCCAACTTCAATCTTGGAATTGTCAACTTTGATCTTGGAATTTCCACCTTTAATCTTAGAATTATCTACTTTAGTCTTGGAATTTCCAATTTTAAAATCCGAAAACTGGAAAATCATCCTTTTTTAATGGGAAAAAAAAACCATAACTCGGAAACTTCAAATCTAAAATTAATAAAAATTGAAAGGGAGCTCACGTCAATAGATATACACAAACCCACAGTTTCATGCCAACTGGTTAAAGCGTTCTTGAGTTATTGTCCGACATGTTGACGACGGACGAACAGACGGACGGACAATGGTATATCATAATACGTCCCGTAAATGGACATATAAAAAATAAATGAAACGGCAAACAATAAATTGGATCCTTATATAAACTGGTGCCAACATTTTTTTAACCATTTTTCCTTTTATAAAAACTTGTATACCAGATATAAAGAATAGCAAATGTTGTCATCTAGACGAGAGTGACGTCGTTGTTCGATTCAATGTATGAGTTATTGCCATCCAATAAAGATGTTTGTTTCTCTTCCATTCCCCTCCTCCTAGTTTGGCTGGATAAGATACAATGTAACCCCTGATGTGGACTATGATAGTTAATGCTAAAAAATTAAATGCAAAGAGACAAATAATGAAAGAAATGCTAACAATTACGCATAAAAAATTAAATATGAATAAATATCAAATATTTAAATTGGAAAAGTGCTTGAAATTGTTATCAACTGAATATTAATGATTCTACACTAAATGGTGCTGATTAATAAATTATTTCCTTAATGTCAAATGACAAATATGTCATGCATATTAACGACGAGATGCAAAGTGGATCAAACTGAAGCAAATGATTAATAATTTTAGAAGGATACTTTAAAAAGATTGAGCGTTGGCTAGAGGTTAAACGTATGCCGTAATAGAATAAAGTTGAACCACGTAAGTTAATATATTAGCCCTTAGTCCTCCTTTTTTCTCTCCAATGTAGACGAATGCCATCAATTTACAATCATTAACGGCCACTACAGGTAAATGAGATATAGACTTATTCTGTAAATAAATTCCTATTGCAGCCGACTTTTCCCGGTTTCGGATATGTTTGTTTTCCCACTCGAATACCGTTTAATTATTTACCGGAGAATGAAATCAACCAAACGCACTTTGATTCTCTGAAAATATATTTGCTGGCTGTTTTCCCCGGATTCTTTTGTGGACCCCCTAATTCCAAGAGGGCGTGTCTTAGCTTATTAGTCATGGGCTATTAACTATTATCATATTATCAAATTGGACCTCAACTTAAAGACCTACACCGGGTTACTAATTTCGAGGTACAATATGTTATCAAAAGAGATCCTTAATTAAATGGGATCGTCCAAGGTATCTTAAATAATTGTTTTGCCTTGAATAACAATAGAAAATGCACGTTTGTAAGTTGACATAAAAAATGAATTTTAACCTTAGATTTGAATTCAACAATGAAAACAAGTATTTGCCACATCCTTCGCTTTGATCGTTCTTGTAGTGAAGTTGTAGATTTCAATTGAAGTTAACCAACGGATATCACATCCTACTTTTTATGTTGAAGTTGCTTTAGCGCCCGTTGATTTAGATACGATCTATGTAAGCTGATCGATTCTTTGAATAGAGTTATCTAATTACATTTTATTAAGATCTCTGAATATATTTTTTCATCGGTACTAAAAGAGAGACAAAAGATATTGAAGGGATATTCAAAAGCATAACATTGATTTTTATTTTAACGAATAAAACATGACTCAATGTGTATTGCTATAGAGTTATCAAGGCTTAAACTCTGCAACCCATCGATAATTATATTTTAGCAGTGCATTAAATAATGTTTTCCTATACAGTTTATGACGACTTTACACTGCATCTATCGCATGTGTATTAATTGATGATTTGTTTTAGTAATATGATTTTGTTATTAGTCGTTATATGGCCGAGAACTTGTATACAGTAACTGCGAGTACTCTCATGTCGGTACTTTGTGGTCTTTAGTTTTATTGTATTTGTTTGTTTTGCTGTATGTTGATTTGGTCTGTCAGAGCCATTCACACTGATTTTCACAATTTTGTTTTGTGTTTATGTGTTGCTGTTAAACCAATGTCTCACGTACAGGATGATGGTAGAGTGCTAGGAATAAAGGCAACAGAAGTATACCGCTGTTCAATTGTCATGAATCGATTGAAAAAAACCAAATCTGGGCTGCAAACTAAATACGAAGGAAGTATACTAACATAATTGAAAAACAAAGGAACAACAGAAAACAAACGCCAACATACATAGAACCAAACTATTTGATAACAACTGCCATATTCCTGACTGGAAAACTGTTTGCCAAGTTACATTCTGTAAATGCAAGTCATAAGTTAGAAACCTGTAATTAAGTGGTTATCATTTGTATTTTTGTAACATTTTATTAGATCAGGGCGTGGGAGGCTGTATGGCGACTATAGTTATTTACTAATTTGATCTGTTATGGACAGTTGTATCATTGGCATTCATAACCACATCTTCCTTCTTTGCTGTTTTTACTTAATTGTGTTCTCAAGCCAGTTTTAATATTTCCCAAGTTATCCTTACACATGTTTATGTAACATATTGTTTACCAAATATTGCATATACCAAGAAAAATATAATTGAAATAAGCAAAAGCAAATTTTATTTTAAACTATCACAGTAAAATAAATCGAAATTACTAGTAAATAAATTCTTTCGTGAATGAAAAGCAAGGTATATAATAAAATACGGTGATAGATAAAAGTATATAAATCATAAACACCGTACAAATAGAACCAAATGTGTCATAAATCCTGTCATTTAGGAACTTTGTTGACTCTATAATAGTTCTTTTTTTTGTGTGTTATATACACCTGTACATCAAAAAAGTCCCGGAGTTGATTTGTGCGATACCCTACCTCGGTATTCAAATTTACCAGTTCACAACTTAAAAAAAGGCATTTGCTTGAGTAAACATAAGTGGAGTTCCTACTTAGATATTAAATCTTGATTGCTATGATCAATACATACCCTAGAATTCAAGTTAGTGGTGATTTTACCTTGGTAATCACATTTACACATTACGGTTACATAATCACGGCCCCTAGAGTTTGCGTAAGGAATGACTATATAACTTATGATTCAGTCATGCCATGAGCCGAGAACAGGACTATGATTTAATAGCTTGTTAAGAGTTGTATTTTCATCGGAGTATTACTGTTTTGGAACTACCATTGGAAAATAATCATTTATTGAAATATTATTTAAAGTACAAATGTAGCAAAAAGTAAAAGAATAAAAAAACTCCAAGGAAATTCAAAACAAAAAATCCTTTATGGTATAGAACCACTAATTAAGGCCCGGTCGGAAAGAACATACAAGAAAGTAGTACATATCTAAATCAAAACAGTTCCTACGCATAGCTGTATCTTTGTCAATAGGTGAAATATTTGGGTAGTTTTGATATCAAATGAAGTCTTAGGGACTTAGGTTACTGTAGAACCCTTGTTGAAAGTTTCTTTTGAATAATATACAAATTTTAATATGAGGGTACATTTGCCCTGTTGTTCAGATCAGAAGTACGTTTTTGTACTATCCAACTTCCGGGAACCAGTACGCTCTAATATGCAATTAAAGGTATGTTGAATTTTTCAGCACAAGTCAGGATAAGGTATAGTTTTGACATGAAATAACTGCCACTTTGTTTGAACTTAAGACAAAGTGGCCATTAATGCTTGAAGTTGCATAATTTAACATAGAAAGCAATGGGGCTATGAATTAGTGGTTTTATACCTATTACTGAAAGGCATGTGAAAATCAATTTTTAGAAATCATAGCCATTACATTGAAAATTGGTCACATTTGCTGTTAGTTATCATTTTACATTATTTTTTTATGTAATAATTATGTTGGTGTCAAATTACACCCCTCAAATTGCTACAATTAGGTATTTCAGCCTTTTTTGTCATTTAGCATGCACAAAGTTAACATTTTTACCTGAAGTTTAAATTTTTACATTATCTAAGACTGAAACCGATGAAACACGTATATTATGACTGGTTTATAGTATAAATGTTTCTTTTGGTCAAATTATCTGGTGAGTGTTCATGTTTTATTGGGTTTCATAGTGTATCATTTATTTCAAAGGAAATTGGTGTGTACTTATATAGGAATTCCAAAATCTCACTTAAAATGCATTCTATAACCAGTTTAGCAAGTTTCCTAGCTGGGAGATACATAAATTGCTCTTGTTGATTCATGTTTAAACACAAAAGTATGATTTTTACCAAATCACTCTCCTTTTTCAACATGTAGAAAAAAGGGGGGACAAAATTTTCATTTATATTTTAAGTTTGTACCAGTTTATTTATATTTAAGAAAGAATCTCTGGTAAAAATAAGACATATTGGTAAGAATATTGTTATTTGAGTAGATATTAACAAATAAGAACTGGTAAAAATTGAGAAAGTGTCATATTTGTCACTATAATTATCCATATGGAGTTTTCCTTGTGTAACGCATATGTTACTACCAGTCCAATTTGAGTTTGAATTCAGTAATATAGTGTTTTGACAAAAGCTTTATGTGGTTTTCTACGTTAGACATAGATCATAGAAGGAAATTAAGTCAAGCAGAAGTCATTATAAAAAGTTTGTTGCTGTTATAGGTATAGAACATACAAGAAAGTAGTACATATTTAAAACAAAATAGTTCCTACGCATAGCTGTATCTTTGTCAATAGGTGAAATATTTGGGTAGTTTTGATATCAAATGAAGTCTTAGGGACTTGGGATTACTGTAGAACCCTTGGTGAAAGTTTTTTTTGAATAATTAAGAAGTATATACAAATTTTAATAGGAGGGTACATTTGCCCTGTTGTTCAGGTTAGAAGTACCTGTTTTTGTACTATCCAACTTCCGGGAACCAGTACGCTCTAATATGCAATTAAAGGTATGTTGAATTTTTCAGCACAAGTCAGGATAAGGTATAGTTTTGACATGAAATAACTGCCACTTTGTTTGAACTTAAGACAAAGTAGCCATTAATGCTTGAAGTTGCATAATTTAACATAGAAAGCAGTGGGGCTATGACTTAGTGGTTTTATACCTTATCAAATGGCAACATGAAAAGCCCAAACACATTAATCGAATGGAAATCAACTGTCATATTCCTGACTTGGTACAGGCATTTCCTTATGGAGAAAATGGTGGATTAAACCTGGTGTTATGGATAGCTCAACCTCTTATATGACAGATGCATATAATTCCACTTTATTGACAACAACATCTTAATACCTATAAAAACAAATAACTATTTCAAAAAAGAAAAACAAAATGGCATAAAGACACAAAGCATATAAACAAATTGAAAGGAAAGTATACAAAAAAAAAACATGACAATAAATACAGAGCAACGCCAATAGAATATTACTAAAAGTAGACTAACACTAAAGGTTAAAAATACATAAAGATGAATAAAACGAACACTATAACACGTAATTAATATGATAAACAACGTCAGGACCTATAATCTATATTTCAAGACCATTATGGATTATTTGTGTTGTTGATATGGAATATTTATCAACAAGGTCTGGTATCTTCCGACGAACTTTTTAAGAAAAAAAAAACTAGACGTGCTTTGACATAACCCTGGTTCATCAACTTTCTGCTCAGACACTGGTGACGTTTTATGAAGTCTGAGTAGCAGCTGCAAGCTCTTGAATACCAAATGAGTTAGGAAATGTATATTTCATATGCAGGTGAAGTTGGTATATTGTAGCTAAGATGGAAAAAAATTATAAAATAAAAATATGCAATAAGGCCAATATATGCCAATGGAATAACAAATTATTCTATTGCAAGCGCAACAGTGTATCACGAAAAAAGAAATAAAGAAATTGCCACTCAGCTGTATTTTTCAGAAGTTAAGGGATGCCTTTTTTTCAGTAAACAAACCTTTAAGATATATCGATAACCGATGCAAGTTCTAATGAATATTTAAATGTGTATCTGTTCATATGTCCACAGAACAAAGAACATATACTAATGATCAATATACTGAGAGACTGTATCGTTTGCTTAAATGAGAATGCAATCCAAATACATTCAACGTTCTTTTAAAGATTTTTAATTCCTAAATGTCTCTGTCGAAATGTCAGCTTTAGACTGAATATCGGCTATCCACTTAACCAACTTCTTAGGAATATCACAGTACTTAAAGTATATTAGAAGGATATAAGTTACTTGGATTAAATAGATAATTAAAAAATATTTAAAGAAATCAGACTATAAATTATATCGAAATGAAATAGCTATGTAATAAAATAGTGTTGTGCTAAGGCTAATACTATTGTCCTTCTTTGTAAGGTAAAGACTTTAATGCAGTTTTGCCAAGCACATAAATGTTGGTTTGGCGTATTTGATTAAAGTAAATAATATTTTAAAAAATTATTTGAAAATAAGCCACGCATTTAAAGTTATTCTAAGCGAAATCAAAGGTAATGTATGATACAATTCAGATCTTCATAGATATTTAGATAAACGTTGACATTTTGTTTTGTGCAAAAATTGTTACAGCAACAACGGGTATACATTTTATTTGAAAATGTCTAAATAAAGCAACCAGGACTAACGATCTTTATCAAAAACCTTGAATGATCTAAGATAACCTTGAATGATCTAAGATAAGCTTGAATGATCTAAGATAAGCTTGAATGATCTAAAATAACCTTGAGGAGTCTAAGATAACCTTGAAGAGTCTACGATAACACTGGAGAGTCTACGATAGCATTGAATAGTCCACGAGAACCTTAAATGGTTTACGATGTCATTAGCTTAATAATTGATTTGACCTCCATTCAGTTATTTAAACATTGTTGTTGGGGTATATATTACGATCAATTTTGAAAAATAATATGTAGTTGCTTAACAAATTACCAATACAACTAAACGAAAAAAATATATAGCGAATATCAACTTTCAAAAGTTTTTCTAAATTTTGAGCTGTAGAAAATACACATGAGCAGAATGTATGCAGCAATATTTACAAATAGATAATTAATAATGAAACATTACACTGTTTCTTTCTCAGTCTTTACATTCATTTGTTTAAAACTAAAAATTTGCATAAACATTTGCAGATTCCAGGTGAACATGCAAAGCTTCATAACATCTTTTGTATTCCTCCTGCAAAACAAAATGACGTATTCATAATGAAAGAAAAATGATAATGTTATAATATTAATATTTTATAAACGTTGATTATCTGTTTGACAGAATATCGCGATTTGAGATGAGCTACACGTTTATTAGTTAACCATGCACTGTAAGAGTACCTAAATTCGTCCCATGTTTTCTGTGGCCTTTTTTTTTGCATAGTATTTAGTTTTTTCGTCGACTGGAATTTTTCTGTTTTGCTCATTGTGATCATGGTATTGTTTCCTATACTTTGCTAACTTGGTATCTTTCTTCTTTTAGCAAACGTTGTTCAAGTTAACAAAATGAATACAATTTATACATTCGTATTCTAGTATATACCAAATTATCAATTGTTACATCATCAATAAACAAAAAGTTAATTCAACTGAAGTCAGGTTTTATTTCAATGTTTATAGTTACAAATATTTGATGGTGAAGGTTGATTGTATTTAATTCTTATTGAACATGGAACATCACATACTCATATTACCGGCTATAGTGTTTATAAAGTCTGTAAAATAAGAGACTACAACCGTAAACTCTTTATTCTTAACTTAACTTATCCCTAAGGGATACCAATTCAACATCGTAGTAAGATCATCAAATATCGTTTATCGGTACTTATACTGACGACGTTTTTGATAAATTAAAACAGAACTATACATGTATCGCTATACATTTATGAAAACTAATGACCTTACATTCTGTCGATATTATGTACTTATATTGATGCATTGTACAAGGTCATTCATTTCGCAGAATGTTAATGACATTTTGACGCCAAATTAATTGTTATTGTCTTTAAATTAACTAGCTATCAGTAATTGCGAGTACTTTTGAGCGGTACTTTGAGATTTTTGACTTGTTTTGAGTTGATTTTGTTATTTTTAGTTACCTGCCGATCAGACGAGTCAAGACATTTCCAACTGATTTTTACAGTATGTTCCTCTGGTGTGCTGTAACATCACTGTACCAGGTTAAGGGGCAGGTTGAGCGCTTAAAACACGTTTAACCCCTACACATTCTATATGTGTCTGTCCCAAGTCAGGAGCCTGTAATTCAGTGGTTTTCGCTCGTAAATGTCTGTTGAATAAAGTTTTACTCTACTGTTGTATTATAAATCAGGCTGCTTGTATATTTCGTTTGAATTGTTGCACATCTTGTCATTTGGAGCCTTTCATAGCTGACTATACGGTATTGGTATTGCTAATTTTTGAAGGCAGTACGGTGACCGAGAGTTGCTTAAATTGGCTTCATTTTAACTATTTTGGAAATTGTCTCATTTGTAATCATACCACATCTTCTTATTAAATATTGAAGCTCCCAAAATGAACAATAATAAATTGATCAAAGTATGTCAATGGAGATAACACGTTTAAAACAAAAATACAACTTTGATACATCAATGAATTGTCCATCAGGCACGGTCAGTAATTAAGTGTTTATTTCATTCTGTGTACTTACAAAGTATGTGAAGAACTCGGGACGTCTTAATTGTAGAAGTCTCACAAGTTGGAAGATATCTGCATTATTGTCGATCTGCATGCTGGACACGGCATTGGTGAAAGCACAGAATAGTCCACAATTCTTGGCACCGTCACTACATTACAAAAAGATCAATTACAAATGATACATTAGATAAGAAATAGAGAAGTACATCAAATAACAAAAATTTCAAACTTCAAGGGAAATTCAAAACCGAAAGACTTTATCAAATGGCAAAATCCAAAGCTCAAACACATGAAACGAAAGAAATAGAACTGTCATATTCCGAGCTTGATACAGGCATTTCCTTATGTAAAAAATGATGTTAGTACATTGACAGCTGTACTAATGATAACTGAAGTTTAAAGGACGACAAAAACTGGGTTTTATAGCACTACAAGTTAACGGTAAAACATAATTTTCATCTTAGAGGTCACCAAACCGCAACCGATGTGATCGTTTTCACTTCCATTCTTTTAATTTAATCAGGATAATTTTTTTCGAGTATGGCATCGTCCCAATATGACTAGATAGGAGATCAATATCAGCAAAATATTTCAACCAGCTTTTTAACTTTCACTACTGAAACAAATAAATATTATTCTTTCCAATAGAGTTATTCTTTACCTTTCATACAATATCCTTTTCATATACTAGTACTTAAAATTATACCGTTAAAAAGAACATTTTCATGTTACAAACGAATTAATATATTTTTTTCATACCTGCTTACAACTGTAATAGGATCACTTGACATAGTTGCACGTGTTGAAATAAGGTCAGCAAGTTTACAGAGTACAGCGGGGTCAGGTATACTACTACAGATGGCTTGATACAATACTACTTGTCTCGGTTTGTCTTCCTATAACAAAATAAACATTTATATAATATATTTTCGATTTTGGTTCTTTTTTTGTTTGATGCTCATAAACCTTTATATATTTGTGTCACTTTTGACCTCAAGCGAACATATGGATTGTCATTCCAGAAACTTGTCGTGTATACCGAAATATTAATCATACGGTTTTATCAAGTACGTGTCCAGACAGTTAGACAGCTCAGAATATTAGTTAAAACATTTGTCAGTTTGTAACTGTATATTTTGAATTAGGCTTTGATGATAACATTAACAGTACATCCGCGTTTTGACTATACTGCGTCTTCACTGCTTCTTCACTGATGTTTGAAGCCAAAACAATTTGAAAGTCCCAAACGCAATACAAACGTTAAAGAGCCATTAAAAGCAAAACGGACCCCCTCTCCCCCTAAAAAAAAATAAAAATAAAAAAAAGGAGGTCAAACCCGCTCAAGGAATTAAAGCTAAGCATTAAGAGATACATTCTTTAATTTTCAAATAATATCAAAAATCCAGTTTCCCTTAAATGCCATGACCATTTATAAGTCTCATAGTTTTTAAGCAGTGTAAAAATGTTTCATATCTTACCTTTTTAGAGAGAACCATGGTTGCCTTTGTGATGTCATTTTCGACTCCTTCTCGTGCCGATATCTTTATACGAAATTGACCAATGGTAAAATTATCGCCCGATTGTGAGTACACCATGTCAGCCTTAAATAGTATAAGAATGAACATGTGGTATTATTGGTCATATAAGAATCATACATAGAAATTTTAGATAAAGATAGATATATGAAATAAACTTAACTCGTAACAAATGTGATGACGACTTAACGTAGTGCACATGTTTACCTCAACTACCTGAGTAGAAAAAACAGGGACAGCTAATTTTATTATCTTTCCCAAAAACTGATCGAAGTACGGAATACTTTAAGTATATAAAATTTGAATACCAACGCCAAAACAAAGTATACGACTGTACGCCTCATTTACGAAATACATCTCCAAATTCACTGTTAGTATAAAAATCATCGCTAACCTCGTTTGCGTTGTTAATAATTAGTACAATGGTCGAAGAGCTGTGGTCCCGTATCATTGTCCAGAAATCTTCCTTAGTATCCAATAATGGTAGCTGTGTGGTGATGTATCCAACAAATTTTGTGTAAGACTGGAATACATAATTGTAACATCTGACTATAGTTCATAACTAATGTAGCCAAAAGAAATAAAAAAAAATAATATTAAATAAATAATAATCTTTAGTTTTGCTCTCTATTAATTGGTCTTCAATACTTGAGTTTAACTTGTCTTTTATCACATTGTTATAAAAAGAAACCTTGTTAATGGTACAAAGTCTTTTAATTTCCGAACGTCCTTCTTTTGTTTACCTCTGAAAAACTTCACCCTTAGCATTGATAGCTAATTATAAGCTTCATGTAACATACTATTCCCTGTTTTCTCCGTAAAAATGTTTTCGTGGTTTCTTGTATGAAAAACCACAACCAACACAATTATCAAAACTTTACGAAGTGGAGTAAGATATAATGCATACATAGTCTCTTTTCCTTAAGACAATCGAGTATAAAAAATGTGTTAGACCTTTATGTAAACATACCGTACGTTTCAAGACGGGCTAACATAAACTTGTATTTCATTGTGATACTTGAAGGTAATTTACTATATTTCTGTTTGTTTTGTGCATTTTATATTTGATTTCGCTATTGATCGTACAAGCCACTGTAAAATATATGTACCACCATTAAAATATCTGACTTCTATTATGCATTGTTCTTCAGCACATATTATGTTTCGTAACCATCGAGTTTGATTTGTAGTTCTATATAAGCTAACGTGTTGTTAATATGTAAAATTAGCTTCGAATAGGAAAAAAGATAGTTTGAAGAAAGCAGATATCTTTGACATGTTGAACGCTATTTTAAAAGAAATTGCAGAACTTTGTAAAACTTACAGGCACTTGTACTGCATTAATATAATCTGATCTTCCTTTTCCATAGGATACGAGAAAAACTCGCTTATCATCCACTAAAAATCACAAAAGTTGTTACTTATGCAATTTACTTGAGAGTAATACAACTGACGCTTGACGACATTGATACACGTTTTTTAATTGAGAGGTATATTTGTTATGTTAGATATATTGAAAAAATCCACTTACGTTAATATTGTCATTGTTAACGTATTCTCTATAAATCAAAATTATTTGGAAGTTACATATATTTTTGCCCTTATCTTATTTTCGGTGAGTTGACGTGTCATGACGTTTACCCAACATCTCCATTAATTCATAATTGAAGTCAGGATATTAGTTTATTTTCAAGACAATCAAAAATTTAATTTGTCACAATTATAAAGTCACATGTTTTTATCATTTGATTTACGAACAGAAACTGATGGTATTGTTTGAAAAGAACATTAAATTTTTGTATCCTAATTTTAGGGTTTTCATAGTTTGAAATACACAAAATTAAAACTGTGAATATATCTCGTCTCTCTCCTCACACGAAATACTTATAAAAAAAAACAAGACAACTTACTGGGTAGAACTTCTTTGTTTCTGTTTTTCGCTAAGTTTGTTGTACTCATGGCAGCATTATATTGGTTGTGATTCTGATCACCCTTCGTCGCTTTGAGCATCTGCAGTAGAATTATGTGATTGGCATTTTTACGAACTAGATTTGTTTATGTATGTGTCTAAATTACTAGTAACCATCATTAGGCAAGCTTTAGACAAAAAATGTGGAAAACTACAAAATAACAAGTTTGGGAGCCACAAAACAGAAGGCCTAAACGGAATTGAAACATGGTAAAAGGTCAACGTCATCATAGAGATTTGTATACTAAATAGAGAATGCAGTATATGGACTAGAGACAGGAAAGAAAGTTTGTATTGAAATCAACACGAAAAGGCAGCATACATGTTAAATTTAAGAGAATAGTTTTCATTTGACACATGCTATATATTATGTAGCTGAAATTCACAATAACAGTAAAGAATTCAAGAGATTAATTATTACTTAGATATTTTGCAATGCACATGGAAACTAGCGATGTTTACAATACGGTATTATCTTTTATACATCATGAAAGAAAATAGCTTGAAATTTTCCAATCAAGGAGCCCCTGAAACATCCACACGAATCAAGTTTGAAGTCTGAGAATTGTATGCTTTAAAAAATTGTGATTTTGATGATAATCTTGAATGTTATCTATGTTATATGTAATAATTAATGAATAATGGTTTTCTACATACAAACATTACTTCAATCCGATAACATAATTCTTGAATAAAGAATAACTTAAAAGCAAAGAAGAGTATACATAATTGAAATAACATATATTGTTAATAACTATTATGAAAACTGATCATATCTATATAAAATATTAACCATGCTGTATTGTCATAGAAAACAAAGTAAACATAGCACAGCACATTCTTCTAAACGTTCTATCATCACATACAATGTAACAGTGATGTACTGACTAAGCATAACCAATCAAGTCATTCTTCTTTGATGTAACGTAACTTTAGCAAACCACGAAAGCATTTACTTCTTAACTTTATTATGAAACGATGAACTGAGTATGAACATGAAGAATGAACTTAAAAAGCCAAGAAGAAAAAATAATGAATGTTATAAAAAGGTACATGCAAGAAAAATAATGCATTTACTGATTAGTTCATGTAAAAATGCATAAAACTCATAACTGTAAACCAATACTCCTCTTCAGAATGGACAGTGCACTTTATTTACAATCAAATGATTTCTTATAAAAAATCAAAGAAAATAAAATTATATAAGGAGATGTTCTTACTTACTGAAGATGAAAGACCCTTTATTTCTCCTACATGTTGTTCGAGTTCCTGAATAACGTTTAATTCAAACATATAGTTGATTTAAACAGATGTCCATGAAGTTGAAAATAACAATCTCATAAACATGTTTAAATATTCCGAAGATACTGTATAAACACACGATTCTTCGAAGTGTCATCCATTTTCGATGCAACATTTAATGTTGTTGATAAATATATTATATTCCTTAATATATATTAAGTAATGTTTGTATATCAGTCTTAGAATGTATTTATCATTTCAGTGTCGTGTATTCTGAAGGTATAACGTTAAACACTACAGGTGTGTCATTATCTATTGTCTTTGATTCTTTAATGAAATAATATTGAAAGTAACAGAGAAGATACATTTACATCACAAAAAGTCAGCAACGTGTCACTTGATGTGTAGGACAAATTACATAAATAAATATGGGCTTTATATTAATACACCAGATCTGATTGGGAAACATCGACATGTACTAAAATAACTACTATACAAGTCGGAAGTTTTGACTTGGCAAGTTTAACAGTCTTTGTTTTGACAGTCTATTACCTATTAGGTACATTGAATGTTCGTCGTTGGGTTGTTGTCTCATTGGTATATACCCAATACGTCCTTTTATTTATTACATGTTATATAAACTGATGATTGTTTACCTTAAATTCTTTGTTAAGCCTTTGATGATTGAGCGGTCTGTGATCAGTCAGAATACTCTGCCATACTTCACTGAACTTGTCCTTTCGAATCTTTGTTTCTTTCATTGTGAAAGCCTCTAGTAGGGCATAGTGCAAACACACGTACTGATCCTTTTATAGCAAAAAATTAAGAGAACAAAAAATTCTAATGACAATGAAGAGGGTATGATCAGGCCACATATTTGGTAGGTTGAATTCGAAAATGAAAAAAAATATTATTAATCTCAACATAAAATCTTTAGATGTATATGAGACATTACTCCTTCAGGTAAAAGTATTACGATTTCTTCTTACATATGTGATGTAGTCATTCAAACTATTTTCTTCAACTGAATGCAAACCTGCAAATTATCTACTAAATGAGCTTTCTTTTGAGATCATGAAAGTAATATCTAGAAATGTATATTAGATCAAATATGTCAATTTCAATATAGAAATAAGGAAATGTGGTATGATTGCCAATGCGACAATTACTCCCCCCCCCCTCAAAGTTCAGATGTGGATGTAAGTAATTGTAGGCAACTGTACGGACTTCAACAATGAATATAAAGAGGTTATTTTGATAGATATAAATCAGTCACCAACGTTTCATAAATCTGCTCAGAGCACTTTTGAGTTATTTTCAGAAAAGTGGAAAATCACCCTTTTTTTATGAATAAAATCTCATAACTCAGAAATTTAAAAAACAAAAATTATATAATTTATAAATATCGAAAGAGAGCTTACGTCAATAGATATAAACAATTGACCAAAGGTTCTTGCAAATTGGTGAAAATGTATTTGATTTCTTGTCAGAAAACTGGAAAAATCCCTTTTTTTTTAATGAATAAAACCCCATAACCCGGAAACGTTAAATCTAAAATTTATAAAATCGAAAGGGAGCTCACGTCAATAGATTCAAATTGATAAAAGCGTTTTTGAATTATTGTCCGACATGCTGACGACGGACGAACAGACGGACAGACTTACAGACAACGATATACCATAATACGTCCCGTAAATGGCGTAAAAAAAAATCAATACCGTATAGTCGGCAATAAAAGGCAAATAACAATTAAATTGAGAAAATTACCGTCATAATTTCTAACAAATAATTTTTGAAAAAACAAATATGACAGACATGAACTAACGATTACTACTGAACTACAGGCTCCTGACTTTAAACAGTCACATATAGAATGTGCGTGGAAGGATTAAACTAGTTTGCTGGCGCCAAACCCTCCTCCTAACCTGGGACAGGGGTGTAAAAGTAGAACATAAGAACAAGTTTACGACATCAAAGGGACATAACTAATGAGCTTTATGCATTAAGTGTCCATATTCATATATCAGTAAAATCAATAAAATTATCAATTGTTTTAAAGGCTTGAATAATTTTTAATATTTTTGAAATTTGAAGGGGGCCAAGTTATGGTTCTTATCATACCTGCTACTTCACCTTGAATATTGCAATTAATATCTTATTTGTTTTATCAGTTGATAAATCAAGTGTGTTCATGCAACACATTTTCTGATAATCATAACTGTCATTGACATGAGCAATGCCCGAAATGCTAAGACTGCACAGCAAAACTGCGAGAAGATCCTGTTAGTTTAGAGAATACATGACTATATCTATGCCAAAGTCGTATTGAATGAGGATGCATTTTTATAAACATGCACGATTTAGACAAATCTTGAATGTAATCGAAAAAATATTGCTCGACTACTTTTTATCTATAGGACACAACGACAAATATCTCACATTACACATATTTATCTTTGTATTCATTACTCTCGATTTAATAACAAGGTTTTGATAAGAACATTACAGCTAAACCTTCCGAGAAACCTGTGTTCATCCCCAGTTTGTCTGTGATTCGTAGACTATATTGATTAACATCTAAAGAATAAAATCACATTACCGCCTATAATGAACTTTGATACAAATGAACTTTTTCTAAAACAAGCTTCGATAAAATAAACAGAAATATTCAATACAACCAAATTGTAGCTACCAGATAATATAATCGAACTATGAACTTTTATGTGACAGATCATTTGGTGTACTTAAATAATCAGAACGTATGATTAAGTAATTCTTAGTATTAAGGACGGGTACTTATATGTTTCTATTTGCTGACCATACAATAACATTCTATACAGGTATTGCGTGATGTCTAATTACTTTGTTTAATTTGTCAACGTATTTTATGGAGTAACACGACCGGTGTCACATCATGCACATGTGGAGCAGGATCTACTTACCCTTCCGGAGCGCCTGAGATCACAACCAGTTTTTTGTGGGTTTCGTGTTGATCAGTCTTTAGTTTTATGTTGTGTTTTGTGTACTGTTGTTTGTCTGTTTGTCTTTTCTGTTTGAGTCGTGGCGTTGACAGTTTATTTTCGACTTAAAAGTTTAAATATCCCTTTGGTAACTTTCGCCTCTCCTATACAGACTGTCGTGCATATAACATTGCGAGACATTATTGTAAACGAACTACATAGTTTGAATTATATAAGTTCTTACAGAGGTTTGAATCATATTCATTCGGCTGTATCTCATTTTCTTCAGAAATTTGAAAATGTCAAGAAACTTTGTAGTCCGCCCTTCTTCCAACAGAGCATCAAGAGCAATGTAAGTTCCTGTTCTTCCAATACCAGCACTGCAATAAAACCATTACATACCAAAACGTCAATAAAAGATCAAATACTGCACTTTTTTTGATATTTTAAAATTCAAGGATAAAATTATTTTAAAGAGCAATGTCAATTTAAATTGGTCAATATTAAGTACTCAGGTGTTGCAAATAAAACCTGAATATTTTGCGTTTTTTTTAAATAAGAATTTAGTAAGTAAATATTTTTCTACGTATTGAATTATTGTGTATGTTTAATATGCAATAATGACAGTTAGGCGTGTGTCTTAATATGCGGTAGATACCAATAATGCAACTGCATATTATAATTCAGTTTAATACTAATGCAGTTGAATTATTGGTAACGATTAACAATATATTTTAATACTAAAAAAGTTATTATGTACAAAGAAAAAATCTATGTGTATTTGTATGATTTTTCAACTTTCGAAATAACTTTTTACCTGCAATGAACCAACAAAGGCCCTGAATGTCCAGCTTTGGTATCAGATATCACATGTCTATGAAACAGAACAAGATACAAAGGATCTGGAGTTCCATGATCTGGCCAAGCTGTGAAATGGTACTGAGTCACTTTACGCTTTTTGCCACTCTAACAAAAGGATATACAATGATTTAGTGATATCGCGTAATTATAAATTCGTTTCCCCTTTATGGCATCTGCTTTATGTGTTTGCAGTGTCCTTTTCTTCAGAACTGTATGTCATGCATTTTGTGTTTTATCGGCTGTTGAAACCGTTACCAAAAATATATTTTAAGCGCCTTAGGGTATTTGCTTGTATCTCAGAGATATCAAAACGCCTATAGAATTTAAGAAATCTTTTAATTATCATAATGTCATAATATCAAAACTAGCTTAAGAAGTGTATTTTGCATTATTATATAATATTTATGTATATTAAAATGTTTATCTGTTTGAGCTATGACACAAGAACTTATGTTTTATTATGACATTTGAATAAGTCAAGGGAAAGTGTATTTGTTATCTGTCAATTAAATATGAAACGCTATATGATTATCTTTTGAACAAAACACTATCGTGACCAATCATGTTTTACATCTTTGATAAAAGCCATATTTGGTTTGACGGTTTAAAAAGTAAAATAACAAAAATACCGAACTCCGAGGAAAATTCAAAACGGAAAGTCCTTAATCAATGGCAAAATCAAAAGCTCAAACACATCAAACGAATGGATAACAACTGTCATATTCCTGACTTGGTACAGTCATGTTATAACATTGCTATTTCAGAATGACTTTCACGCCAACAATTCATAACAGTGTCAATATATGTTTTAGTCTTTAAATAAACAATGCATTTTTGTTAATTTCCACTTGAAACGGAACACTTTAATTAAGAGATAACTGTATTGTATTTGAAGCTTTGCGGACGTCCATCGGTAGTTTTACTGTCGCAAATTGGGTTTACCTGGCGACGCGTAGCGGAGACATGTAAACGGATATTTGCGACAGTTAAACTACCAATGGACGTCTGCAAAGCTTCAAATATAATACAGTTATCTCTATTTTAATGCAAAATAAATACATAATTCAATTTTAGTCATTATTTCAGTGTAAAACATTTTCATTAAATAAATAACATCGTAATATGAAATTCGACATTCCATTAGATTTAGAAAATTGCTAACTCGTTATCCAATTCATCTGTTTCGTGATCATGTTCTTTTCTTTTTTGTATGATTATTTTGAAATGTTAAAATTACCTTCAAGTTAAAAACAGTGATTCCTTTGGTATCTACTGTGTCTTTTTTGACAAAACAAAGGAGGTTACCTAACTAATGTTACCTCCTTGATTATACAGGTAATTATATTACATGCTTATAGCCTTCATTTCAAGTGTCTAGTTTATTTATCGTTTTGCCAGGTTGAATGAAAACAACAATGGTGCATGTGTGTCATCATATATTACCCAAATCATCCAACAAAATACCTTTTTGTCTTCAATTGTTATTTCTCTTGTGACATATGCTGTTCTTTCCTTTTCAACGTTCAGACGGAGACTCAGATTTCCATGGACCATTTGTTTACCACCAGCAGGCCAGTATTGTACACATTTATTCTAATCACGAGGAAAAAGAAAACAGATGGTAATAACATGCATGTATATCAAGACAGACAATGAGCAATTTTAAATGCATATTTTATATAATCATCTACTAGTCTGTTATATTTTCTTTATAGTTTTCTGCATTCTTACATTTATTGAACTAATGGGTTAATCACGCCTGTAGTTCTTGCTGTTGATAGACTTCAGAAATTTCGAAAGTTTGTAAATGTTGTTGTGTTTTAGTTGCCATAAAATTAAAATATACAGTAAAAAAAACTGTTGAATATTGATTTTAACAAATACATTATATTTACGACTAGATGCTGATACCGGCTGTAAAAATGTTGGAAGTCATAGATATTTATGAACGTGTAAAAGTAACTTTTCTGTTAATTCAAGGTAATATCTGACATTTTTCTGAATGAATATATAGAAAAATGGAATTTTTGTTTTTTGATACTAACTTTATCAGCAAGAATATCAATCGAGTCCGCTAGGGCAAGCTGATATTCGAGCTGGTAAAGTCAGTACATGTATCAATAAAATAAATGCCATTAATTTTTTTATTGACAATTTGTCTGAACAAAATGTATTTTGGTTGAGAAAATTGAATAGAATGAAAAAGGTCGTTCAACTATTTTTACGAGCGCGTACGAAACGTTGAGGTAGTTGTATGAATGAAGTCATGTGCATCATATTGATAAATTTTCTCGGATGGACATGAACAAGTATCGATATTTTCAAGTATGAGGTCCTGGCCTTGATCTTGAAAAATATTAGGCAGAAGGGTCAGTCGATAAAAGAATATATGGAGTATACATCAACGAGACAGTACCTCAACGATACACAAATAATAAAAAAAAGAATAAAGAGATAAAAATAAAGTCTTCAAAAATACACAGGTGTTTGTACGATCGCCTTCAAGGTTTAGGACATTGTGAATAAACTTAAAAGAGAAAAGAGATCTCCCATTGACTTTTATCTTTTATCTCTCGATTATGTGTATAACGGTTTGTTGAAAATCTCAAATAATGAAGTTTCATTTAAAGTATTATTTTTTTAATTTTAAATGACAACACAATTTACAACATGGTTTGATTAATGCTAGCATATATACAGGTAACACGTTTGATCATTTGCATTTTTGTATAGTTAAACAATATATTATATCATAAAACTATAATGTACCTTAATACCTTCTACCAAATTCGTTAACATTACAATTTGATCAATATTTTCCTGCCATATCATTTTCCAGTGATCCCCCACTGTGGTTTTGATCGGACCTGTAAATAAGACAATTATGTTTCAATATAGTTACATGTATGTGTATGCAGTGTTAAATAATTTACACCGCACAATACCATGATGTAACTTTTTTAGCAATAATTTTGGTCATTGGGACGTTACTACTTCGTAGTTTAAAGTTTACCTTCAACTAGAATTGATTGAACATTTTTTATGAACGAACACTTCTACTTCAAGACAAAGAATTCTCAATATTCTCCGCCAAACCTTCAACAGTCCCAACTTTAGGTCTACATGATTCGATAATTTGATAAAATACAATTCAAGGCTTTCTCATCAACTTTATTTGAACTTTGGTGTATTGTTGTCTCATTGGATATCATACCACATCTCGTTATTTTTATATAAAGTAATCTTGAAAATGATACCTTTTTGGTGTTATTTACTTTTTGATTGATTTGTTTGTTTTTTTTTCATTTGACGATAATTATCTTAAGTGTGGTTATTTTTTATGTCGTCTGTTTCATTCGATTTAATTTATTTATATGTATGTATGTGTGTGTGAATAAATGATACTTTGATTTGTTTATCTTAATTCATATTCTAAGAATTATTTCAAACGTTGTTCAACAAAACAAAGACTGTTTACCTTGACACGCAATGTAGCATCTTTCCTTTTCAAACCCCTATATAAAAGACATGTATATCTAATTGAAGTATCTATAATTTATATACACACTGTATAAATGTTAGAAAAAATTATATACCTATATGGAGTTATTTTCTTTCAGAACGATAGGTCATTCTTTCGAAGAATCAACCCGGACAATACCATGTTTCAATGAAATATGCTCCAAGGCATTAAATAATTACCTGTGTGAGGTCATTATTTTCCTTGATAAAAATGCAAACTATAATTTACTTCAAAATTATATTCGTCTGATAGTTTCTGTTGCCGATTTGGGAATTTATTTTTCAAAGTTCAATCTATGATAGGTGTAACAAAATCGTCATTGCCCGAATTTTAATTTTAGAAACAAATAATGTGAAGTTTTGTTAATTTATCGCTACATTAGGGACCGGTCAAAATTTCTCAACGCATGGGACCGGTGCAAAACCAAAATGAACTGTAAAAAAACTTGAAGTCCCATGGTTATGCAAGTGAAGAAAAGTTTATGTCCCATTCTATTTTGCAACAAAAAAAGTTGGTGTCCCATGCTAATTCATACAGTATAAACTCGCATAAAGTCCCTCAAACCAATGTGCCAGACAAGCATACATGTACATCATTCAAATAATGCCCACATTCTTTATTTAATTTTTTGAAGTTATTATCTGAGGTTATTTTTTTTTGCGATTTGTTTACTTTTTCTTGTCCCGCCAATTTTGTTGTAGAGAAATTAGTTATTTTCAAAAATCTTTTTGCTCTCTGGCCATGCTAATATTTATTACTTGTCCAGGTTTAGTTTTATGAACAAAATTCTTGCCCTGCTATAATATAATCAGAAAACTTATATATATATCAAAACTTAAAATGATAATTTATTTTTAACTAAAATGTGTATAAACATCAAATTAAATACTTACTTAATTATTTTGATTGTTTTCGTGTTCATCAAATTACAAGAAAATCTCAATAACAGACATTTGGTTTACTTTTATAAATTTTTACTTGGATGGAGAGTTGTCTCATTGGCACTCATACCACATCTTCTTATATCTATTTGGACCTGCAAGGAATTTGGAAATATATACTACATTCAGATTGTATTACCAGTACATGTGCTTTAACTGACTCTTTATTTATAGGAGGGATGGGCCAGTTCATTCTAATTTTTACTGAATTTTATATTTATTTGTGTACATGTAATTTCACATGATTTTAATCAAGTAACCATATCTATTATTTTTGTCGTCCTGTTACACTAAAAGATTCTTTCTAATGCAGTTTGTTACTTCATCTTTCCTGATACATGATACTTATAAATGCACCAATCACTCTGTGTTATAATTTTCAAAATTTATTTGAATGAATATCAAATTATTAATATGAGTATAAAAGCTAAATCTTACTCTTGGTTTTAATTTAGAAGCATGGAAGGAACAAAGTAAATCTGACTTTAAATTGTTTAATTTCTGATGTCTTTTTAAAATAACCTTAGATTTTCATTTAATTGGGCCATTATGTCATGTATATACTGTTCTTACAATATGCCAAATTTTAATTCATTTGGAGATCTACTGTTTTTAAATAGGCAAATTATATAATTGTTTTCAATAAATGATGATTGACAAAGATAGAGATTATCATTTTCTTTTCAAAATATTTAAGATTTTTATAGACCTTCACAAGTGAAAAAAAGTCAATGTCCCATGCACATTCAACTTGAAAAAAATCAGGTCCCATGGAAATTTTGTTTTAAAAAAGAGCATGTCCCATGCGCCTTTGCACCGGTCCCATGCATTGAGAAATTTTGACCGGTCCCTTACAGAGACATTATCATATATGCGAGATGAATTTTAATGTTAAACTTTCATAACACTTTAAAATAAAGCCAGATTTAACATATTCGTGTGTAAGATTTTGAAAATCTTATTGATTCACACTGAATAGGTTGATTGATTATGGTTACTTAACGTCCAGTGGCAAATATTTCATGCATGTTCAGGACGATACACACTGGATAGGAAATCATACTGTGACCAACATGTATTGATATACGTTTTCGTGTAACATGTACATGTATCACGATTTTGTGACCCCTTCGTGTCAGTTCTTGTTAATCAAATGATTAACTAATAAAATATTCTTATATTCTATTGAATAACATTCACGTACCTCATAATGAGGGCGGGTGGGGGGAGGGTATATAATTATATCCTGATTATTTGTTAAACAATGTATTGCTATTCAAAAGAAAATCATTATGAATATTTCATTCGATTCAATTAAAAATTGTTGAAAAAATAATAACCTTTCCGCGATAAAATGTCATTACAAATATACAAAAAAAAAAATCATAGCACCTCCTCCTTTCCATAAACTAAGTTGGTACAATAAATTACTTACAAAGTGTCTTGTCTTTCATACACCGTTATCAGATGGTAACAATTCATTTGTGTCTTACTTCATGCAGTTACAGTAATATTTTATATTTTAATATTGTGTATAGAAAATAATTTCTAAGGTTTATATCTAGATTAATTAGTGAGTTTTATTTCACATTCTAAATGAGCCGTAGGGTGTATAAAAACCTGAACGCATTAGACAGGAATATCCCACTTTAGTGTGGTCGGTAAAATAGGATGCTAAATTTTGCAAATCTTTATAAAAATAATATTTTTCTGACGGTATATAAGTCAGATAATGCATATTTTAAGGTTTTTCTTGTCGTAGAACACACCTCGGGGTGTCAGGATTGCCCAAAGAAAGACCTCCCTACGGTCGTTTGATCAATCCTGACACCCCGAGGTGTGTTCTACGACAAGAAAAACCTTAAAATATGCATTATCTATAACTTAAACAGAGATTAATAAAATAAAAGAAAAACAATTTCAATTGGATACATGAATCTTAATTTATCAACATAACTCTCTACGTGACCCTTCTGTTTTGAAAAAGCGGAAAAAAAATAAAACCATTGAAAACACATTTTTACCGTTAGAATTATGTCATACTCTACTTACATCAATATAGTTTGCATTAATATAATCAGACCCTCCATCGGATTTCAATATGACTCTTGTGCGGTCATCTAAAAGAGGCAATTTTTGTTTCAGTTATAGATTAAACAAAATGTACTATTTACTATAATATTACAACAACTGTTCGCTAATTTAATCTACATTTCCATTCTTGTAAAATATAAACATTTTTAAATACCTACAAATGATGTACATTAAGTCCGACATGTCACCAGCAAAAAACTATTTTCCAATCCGGAGTATCTTACTGTGTTTAACGAAAACAAGCCTGTATTTCAAAGATATCAGAGGAGAGGATACAAGAAGAATAAGTGTTTGTATCGATCGGTCCTTTGCAACTGGTTTTATAGATTGCTCTTATGGTGTCTGTAACACCACTGTCACATGTTGAAAGGAGGGTTTTGCGCCAGCAAACATGTTCAATCCAGCCACATTATGTATGTAGTCTAGTCAATTTAGTGAACAACCTGCAACTAATTGCAACACAAAGTTTTTCTCTGAAAAACAAGTCTGCTACTATCTATGAACAACATACTAAAAATGTACAAAATTATATTTTGCAGAAAGTGGTGTAATATTAATAAAACTTTTTTGTAGTAAAAGTAAGGTTATACGAGTTGCTTCCCCTTATTTGCAAAAGTTGAAAATAATAAAATTATACAAAAAATGTTCTGTATTTTTTTAAACAGTTGTATAATACGATACAATACATAATTATCTCAATTTAAAAGAAAATATTACAAATGAATCACTTTCCTCTCTCAAAATTTGTATATTTGAATAAAGATATAGACCGAGATTATGTTCTGCAATTTTACAATCCAAGAATCTTATTCTCCAAAACAATGTTGGTGTATAACCTACAATTGGTAAATTGTACTAAATTAAATTAACCATCTTTGTCACAACCTTGCTCGATATTAGAAAGAATTCTGCCACTGTGTTAAAGGCACCGACAGTTGTTTTTTTTGTTTTTGTTGGGGGAGGGGTCCTCGAAACACATGTTTTGTCCTTTATAAAAATAAATGTTAATGCAAGACGTAATTTTTGAAATTCAAAGTCTTTATTGTATTTTTCCCCACAACTTTATAAAGAAAACAATCATTTTTTTTTTCATTTCCCTTCTGGAACAAACATGTTTAGATTTAGAATCCAACAATGTATTTCATAAAAAAATAAGAATGATGAGTGTTAAATGATTTTAATGTTTAATATTTTTCAAAAATGAAAATGTCAGGCTCCTCGAAGCAAATAGCTACTCATGTAATTAGCGACAATCTCAGTACTCACAGACCATATAAGTAAAGCTTTGGCTTTGCAAGCTGTTTTTGGATGTAACACTGATTCTCACTTTTCACTTTGGTTGCTAATCGGATGTGTACTGATTTATATTTTAGTCGGTGCGAACAGTATTTATTCATCAACTGTAATTAGCTTTGAACTGATTATGAAAACTCAGTGTATTTTTGTTAATTGGTTTTCATGCTCCGCGCTGATCTTTTTGAGTCGAGCCCGTTCCAACTGAGTTTTACAATTTGTTCTTATGGTGTGTGCTATTTCAAAAGTGTTCCTAATTATGGGAGGGTTGAGTGCTCGCAAACATGGTTAACACTGCACACTATGAATATCATGATCACAAGTCAGTGACCCTTTATTACTTGTTGGTTATTGTTTGCTGTCTGCCACATTTGTTTTCCCGTTTATTGTTTTAAAATTAATCAGGCCTTTGAGTTTCTCGTTTGACTTGTTTTATATTTTGACGATGAGCCAGAGTTGTTTACATCCACACCCACATCATTGTTATGTCTTGTGGAAAGTTTTCTCATTGGCAATCATACAAAATCTTCTTATGTTTTTAAAGTGGGGAGATTTTACAATAAATCATAGTTTCACTGGCAAGCGATCAAACTACCAAGAGATCACTGATAGAGTTTAGTGGACCTCAAAAGCTAAACATTTATATTCGTGTGGCATGAGGTGTTTTTTTTTCAGATTTCTTTTTTTAGTTTCGTTCAAATGAGTTGAATACAGGTCAGTTTTCCAGAAGCAGGAAACGGCGTCTTTAACATTGATATTTCTGTAATAGAGTATATCTATTAATAAAAAGAGATGTGAGGTTTTTAAGGTCAATGAGAAAGCAACCCATACGACTAACAAAAACCAACAGACATACTTTCAGATTAGACATGACTATCTAAATGCTATCTCTGGCCATAAGTCGCCCACAGACACTACAAATTTTAGTTTATTCTCAGATGATGCATGATCTTTTTTTTACAGTTCCTAGGCTAAAGCTGATTACCTTTTATTAAATTAATTCAATGAGATATCTAAGAAGGATTTTGGTAATGCTTTACTTTATATAATATATATATCTTTGACCATAATATTTTCATATAGCAGACAACCCATGTTAGTTTATTGTCATTTTTTATTTCCATTTCTCACAATGTTAAATTTTTTCTCTAAAAATTACGTTTTACCCAAGAATTACAATTTTTTTAAATACTAATAACTATAGGACTTCCTACGATAAACATCAGGTAGTATTTTCTATTTTCTATTTAGATCCCAATTCGAAAGTTTTGACCATCAATAACCGAGATTTTTTCATTTCCAGTTTTCCTAGTTTTTCTCTCTTAAAACATATATTCAACCAAAATTACCCAAATATAAATATTGATAACTAAAGGACTTCACAAAATAAACATAAAATAGTATGTTTTTTTTCTATATAGATAAAATTTCAAAAATATTAAACATTAACAACGGAGAGTTTTAACGTTTTCAGTTTTCAGCGTTTTTTTCACTAAAAATCACTCATTTCACCTCAAAATCACTTCAATATGAATAATAAAAACTAGAGGACTACATATTAGTCTATTAAGATAAGGTTTCCTGTCTTCAACAAGCTTTAGGTCTAAAAATATAACCATAAATAACAATTTTTCTTCTTTTCCAGTTATCAGCATTTTTGCTCTAAAAACCACATATTTCACCCAAAAATAACCTTTTCCTAAAATTTTATCAATGTATACTTTTAACATGTTGTTAGAACAAGTCTATATTATAATTTGCACTAAAAATACATTGTGTTGCAATTAGTTGCAGGTTGAGTGATTTTAGAGCTAAATTGACTAGGCTAATGTGCCTGTCCCATGCAAGTCAAGAGCCTGTAATTTAGTGGTTTTCGTATGGTCTTGTTTATCATTTTTGTATTTCGTTAATGGTTTTGTAGATAAATCAGGCCATGAGTTTTCTCCTTTGTGTTGTTTTCCATTAGTTATTTCGGTTATTTATAGCTAACTATACGATATGGGCTTGCTCATTGTTAAAGGCCGCACAGTGACCGAAAGTTGTTAACTTCTACGTTATTTGGTCTCTTGGGGAAAGTTGTCTCACTGATAATCACACCACATCCTCCAATTTTTACAAGGATTAGCATAGTGTAACAATTTGATACTGATTAAAAGAGCAACTGGAAAAAAAAATAAAAAATAAAAGAACAGAGTTCCAATGTCCCCTGCGTTTCACATATTTTATATTTCCAGGGGGCATAACTCTTTAAAAAACAGTCGGTCATCCACCATTATAAAACTTGTCCGAGATATTGCTGATCTTAACTAAAGTATAAGTTTTATAAAAATCTGGCAAGAATTGTACCCGTGAGAGCGCTAACGAGGCTATTATCAATAAATTTAATATTTCCAAGGGACATGACTCTTATAAAACAAGTCGATCGGCCACCATTATAGAATTTACCCGAGATATTGCTGATATTAATCTATAGTATAAGTTATATAAAAATCTGGCAAGAATTGTACCTGTGAGAGCGCTAACAAGACCGGACGGACGGACGGACACACGGACGGACGCACGGACGGACGCCCGGTATTTCCATGTCCTCCGCAACGCGTTATGCGTATAATGACACAATTTAATAACGATGAAAGAGCAGATGAATAAAAGCTAACAGTGGTATACCGCTGTTAAAAAGTCATAAATCGATTGAGAGAAAACAAATCCGGGTTACAAATTAGAACCGAGGAAATCACATCAACTATAAGAGGAAAACAAAGAAACAACAGAAACACTGAAGTGCAACAAAAACAAACGCCAACATACACAGAAACGAACTATTTGATAACATCTGCCATATTCCTGACTTGGTACAGGACATTTTAAGAAAAAAATATGGGTTGAACCTGGTTTAATGGCTAGCCAAACCTCCCGCTAATAAGGCAATGTTAAACATATCGCTAAAATAACAACACTACGTGGCAGAAATACAGCAGATGAACGATTTGTTTGAATAAAAAGAATTAAACAACAGTGCCTTGAAGGGCATGAAAAGCGTGTCTACACCTTTCAATTAAGTGGTTAAAAAATGACATAGAGTGTTCTTGTGATCGTTAAATACTGTATCGGACCTCTGCATCATAAAATCGTCAAAATGTTAAATGCATAACAGTAGATGTGTAGGACTCTAAAGTGCGATGGTACTCTAAAGTGCGATGGTCACGCTAAAGTGCGATGGTCTACGCTAAAGTGCGATGGTGCCAGACGCTAAAGTGCGATGGTTTTTTGATTTTTAAATCGCGATGATATGACACGCTAAAGTGCGATTTTATGACACGCTGAAGTGCGATTTAATGACACGCTAAAGTGCGATTTGATGACATGCTAAAGTGCGATTTTATGACACGCTAAAGTGCGATGGTATAGCAATAAGTTCAGACAATTGTTTTTTTTTTGTTGTGTTCCTATCAATTTCTTTGTTAATTGTTTTTGACAGATTATAAATCATGCCGTTGTCTTTCTCTTTTAAAATGTTTTCTACTGGTCATTGCATAGCCCTATATGACTTGCTATGCGTCGTAGGCTTAGACTCCACGTTGATGGCCGTACGAATTTAAGTTGCAACATTAACGACATTTGGTGTTGGGTGGATAGTTGTCTCATTGACAGTTATATCACATCTTCTTATTTTCATTTAATGTACGATAGTTGTTAAAAAAAGTGAAATGACTACATTGCAGTAGCTAGTATTAACTTTATGAACCCGGCTGTTTCAAGCCAATAAACCTACAGCTGTAATTCAGTTGTTGTCGTTTCGTTGTTGCTGTATTTCATATTTGTTTTTCGTTTATTATTTTGTATATAAATCAGGCCATTATTTTTCTCGTTTGAATTGTTTTACACTGGTCGTTTTGAAGCCCCTGTAAACAAAAATTAGCCGAATTAAGTTAACCTCTTCCAGAACCGACCAAAATGTTCCTCGGATTGGGATCATTTGGTTTCTTTTTTCTTTTTTCTTTTTAGCTGTCTAATAAAACCCTGGACAAACATTCTTGTTTTCCGACATGTGAATGACTTCGTTTGTAGAAACGGCGTGTAATGTCAGAATGATTTTAAACTTAGCTAACTTCCTTATTTTCGTAAACAATCGCACTTTCGCGGAAAAACGCATTTTAGCGTATTGAGGCATCGGACTTTAGCGTGTTCCATTGAATAGCACAGACCATCGCACTTTAGCGTAACGAACCATCGCACTTTAGCGTAGACCATCGCACTTTAGCGTGACCATCGCGCTTTAGCGTCCCCATCGCACTTTAGAGTCTTACAGATGTATGAACAATTCAATGAGACAACAATCCAGTGATATCATAAAAAAACCCAGTACTATCAGTATGAAAGATATTCAAAGCTTTAAGGTGGGAACATATTTTTAAAACATAATTATGTTTTTTATGTGTTTTTGATTTTTTTTCAACGGCCTTGATTTGACGTCAAAAGTCTATCAATTCTTAGAATTGAGCAGACTCACTTTTTCTCCAACAAATATACATATATATGTTATCTTGCAGATAGAGTATTTTCTCAGAGACAAGTGCATTTGAAATAAAGATAAAATAAGATATATACAATGTAACAATAACAAAGGTAACAAAAACAGTATTAAAACAGGGAACAATAGTCATTGATAACTATAGAAGCATACATGTAACAAATATAAATCATTTGTTTAAAAACAATTGTAAACGGTTTTTCTCCTTCGAAACGAGGGACTGCAGTAGAGGGAACACTTGTAATTTTGGAAATAATTTGCATTGTAAAATTACAATTTCAATACATGATTCATTAGTTGTTTTTTGGCTTTGAATAAGCTGGCTGTACCTCCGAGTACTCTCAGATCTCTACTTAGTTTCTGTTTGATTTTGCGGCGATGTATATATACACTGCCACGTCCGGTCTATACCTTTGTTACTTGTTTTTCTGATTTGTATAGTTTTGATGAGTTAAGCCCTTTTCAACTGTTTTTTTATTATGTGTTCATATGTTGTGATGTTACACATCTGTCCCCGGTAAGAGGGAGAGCTGGGCAACCGCAAACATGTGCCTGTCCCAAGTAAGGACCCTGTAATTCTGCGGTTGTTTTGTAAATATATCAGGATTTTAGTTTTCTCGTTTGAATTGTTTAACATTTGTCACTTCGGGACCTTCTAAGGCTGACTTTTCGGAATGTGTTTTGCTCATTGTTGAATACCGTACGAAAACCTTTGTTGTTAATAGTGTTGTCTCATTGGCAATCATACCACAACTCCTTATTTTTATATTGATGCGAATCCAGAGACAATTGTTTTTACTTACATGGAAATGTTGTTTTAAATCTGTTTTTCGGCATATTATCCTCCGACTGTGCATGAGTAGTGGGATGTTCTGCTACGTTCGGTATGCTCTTATGAAATATAAAATTAAATTGAAATGAGATTTAAATCAAAGAATTATGTTAAACCTTTATACTTTATACTTATAGTCCAATTATAAAATCGAGATTGTACCCAACAGGAGAAACAGATTAAAAGGACCAAGCAGTCAACAAATTGATTCAATACTATACTATACTGAGTAAATATTAAAAAAAGAGTTTTGAAGTATATACAAATGCCACAGCAACTTAATTATTTTTATTTGATGAAAAGGGGCGGTCAAATGTGTGGTAATACGATAACAACCCTTCGACATAAATAAATAACTGAAGACATATAGAGGTCTACACACAGCTTTACAGTTTTACAGTAGCTTGTGGGGACGTCCGGCCTCTTAACTTTTGTTAATAAATAAAACAGACTATTACAGATTTATCGTTACAATCAAATAGCTAACAAAACATCATTATGATAGGACATCAGACAAAACTGACGTATTCCTGTCTTGGGATTTTCACATGAAAATGTGTTGGGGTTAAATTAGTCTTACTAAATTTTGCAGATCTAAAATATGAACCTTGCAGACATCTAAAGGGAGAACACAGGTGTTTGCTGTTCGACATTAATCTCAGTTAAATTTAGAAAGTGAACGATATTTGATCTCTTCTTTAGACATTTCATAACATCTCGGTCTTTTTCAATATCAAAAGAATCAAATATAAACCATATTTGTCCCGTGTCAATAACAAGGAATGGTGCTATTAATATTAGCGATGTTAATCTAAATTTATTTGATACGAAAACTTTAATTAAATATTTCCCAAGTACATTTGTAAATATACTGGAGAACTTAACAATTACGTAATACCTTATATTCGTTTTTAAGTTCTTCGTGTTTTTGTCTTTTCTGAATATACTTTTTTAAGTCCTCCACCCTAATGCATGTACTAGTTACATCCGAAACATTATAGTATTCGGCATCAGCTGCTACTACGGGTATAGTGGATAGTTTACAATCATCGGCTGCTGCGGAAGACATCGGCCTAACATTAAAGTGCAGTCCAATTGCACTGTCATCTCGTCCTAGAATGTTTTATTGTAGAAAATACAAACAATTATTGCATAATTCAATTGCACTGTGTGAGAACAAACTAAAGGACGTTAATGTCTGATTATACCTAAGAAACGGTTTGATCATCTTCATATTCCTGACATTGATATTTATTGGTAGTGACGGTAAAGACAACATTACTACATTTTGTCATTCTTTTAGCTTACTAAATAGTATTACTTTAGTCCCTTGTAAAATACCCTATGGTAGTTGCTTACATTGACATTTTGTGGTCTCTTGTGTATAGTTGTCTTATCAAATCCTCACCCAGATAATAGTTTTTTTCGACCATGCAAGACCCTCATGGGTAGTCAAGGTCGTTTAAAAACCACCCTCATCATAAATCTAGATCTGTAATAGTTTCGGACCATGTGACACATATTTTTAGACTAAGTACCCAAAAGATAAATATGAGTTTGAGATCAATACGCCAGGGAGTTAGAGGGTGAGAATATTCTTGTAAAAGTTAACAGACGTTAAACGCAAAGTGTTTAATATGGTCACTTGCGTTTTGATGTTGTACCTTTTATATAAAAGCTTAACCAGTTTCCCTGGTAATTCAATTAATTTATGGTTACAAATCTATTTTTCGATCGAAAGACTTTCAAAATGTTTACCTCGATTCATGGAAACTTTATCTGTACTTCTTTTTGTTTTACCGGGTAATTGTTGTCTGTAAAATAAAATAAAATAAAATATTTAAAATATTGTTTCTTATATAATGTCTTCAAAAGTGGTTTATTCATCACAATTTTGATGGTTATGACTTTTGTTTAAACAGGACAGGAGGCGTTTTCAAAAGCTTAAACCAGGTTATATGTAAATAAAAAAATTATAATAATATTTTTCTTTTTAATTACTTATTTAGTACAATCCATGGTCCTCTAGTATAAATCTAGGTTATCCTATTATGAAAACATAATTTTTCAATCAGTTTAATTTGGGTCTGGAGCTGACATGTCAGTAAGTGCTAGTAGTCCTTTGTTAATTTATGTATCATTGTCATTTTGCTTAGTTTCTTTTGTTACCTATTCTGACATCGGACTCGGACTTCTTTTGAACTGAATTTTTCTGTGCGTATTGCTGTGTGTTTCTTTATTCTACATTGACTAGAGGTATAGGAGGAGGGTTGAGATCTCACAAAACATGTTTAACCCCGCCACATTTTTGCGCCTGTCCCAAGTCAGGAGCCTCTGACCTTTGTTAGTCTTGTATGTTCTTTTAAATTTTAGTTCATTTATCTGTTTTGGAGTTTTTAGTATGACGTCCATTTTCACTGAACTAGTGCACATTTTTATTTAGGGGACAGCTGAGGCCCACCTCTGAGATCAGGATTTTCTCGCTGCGTTGAAGTCCCATTGATGGCCTTCGGCTGTTATCTACTCTTTGGTCGGGTTGTTGTCTCTTTGACATATTCCCCATATCCATTCTCAATTTTATCCAAATTTCTACTAGTAGACATTGGAATTCTAATTTGTAATGGATTCTAATAAGAATTTACCAGAATTCCAATTTCTACCAGTACATATTGAAGTTCCAATTTGTACTACTAGGATGATTTTGGATTCTACTGGATTCCAAATTGCACTGTAAGATATACACCTAAATGATTTCATACTTAAATGATTTCACATAAAGCGGATGACGGTCATTGGTTTTGTCCTTCCAGACTTTTTAGCTTACATGGTAAAAGGTAATTCGAAAAGTTAGTTAAAACACGTTTTAGTGCACAGAAAACAATTAATCATACATGTTCAACAAGTTTGCTTTACCTTATCATTACACAATACAAACCTCCGCCTCCAAATGAAAATGACAATGAGAACGACGACAACAACAATAGCCACAACGCTACCAGCAACTGCCCCTGCTAGTGAAGTCTGTTTTACTGGCCCTGAATTATAGTGTGATTGACATATTTTAGTCTGAATTTTAGCTCAGAATTGGCATCTTGTTGAAATACAACTACAAAGGTCCCAATGCTGGTAATGCAAAAGAAGAATACAAAACCAAGCTTATAATACAATTAATTCCGTGTGTTTGGATAAATGTAAAGTTTTTTGGAGAACAGGCACCATGAAACAAGGTAAACCGAGCATCAACTGAGAGCAAAGGCCGAAGACAAATAGCGCAGATCATACTTAGATTTATTTCCTGAGGTGAATTTGCGTAGAGCGAAATTGGTTTGTAAACTATACATATATACATTTTTTTCATCTTATATACGAATCAACCATCCTTCTCAAAAGAAAAAATGCATTTTGTCAACACATATATATTGTGCGACTGTATCCCATTTTGATTACATGTACGAGTAATTGATACTGATCTTTCAATCTAGTCGTTTTACCCGATTATCAGATTCTAGGAGTTTATTTCTTATTTACCTGTACATATGTTGTTTAAGATTGGGCCATAGTGGAACCCATGTTCGTTCCAGTTATTTGTTAATATTGATTTTCATTCAGGATGAAGTTGTTCTTCGTTACCGTCGTGACCATTTGAACCAGGCATTCAGTAGGTGGAAAGAACCCAAAACATCTCTAAATGCAACAATGCCACCTGCATGAGTAATGCAAGGAGGCGACCCCGATAGACACAAGTGTACGCGTGGTGTTAAACAGGGAGAGGTTTAAATCCTGCATTATCCGTCATATACCAGAAGTGACTTCGATATAAGAAGGTAATTCTTCATCATGTTGAAAAAGGCGGAGTCGGATATAAACAAATTCAGAAATCGTTTTCAGTTGAATCAAATAATTGGTCTTCCATGGTTATTAGCCTTGTGAAATTTTGGCAAAATTTATGGTATAAATCATTCAAGAGTATTTTGATCGTTTGATTTATTCTAAATATTTGTAACTCCTATGCTTAATTTTGGGTATGAGTCTTATTATTTGTAGGATCTCAGTTTCTTTTTATTATAGGTTAATGACTAATGTGCAGCCTTTTCGAATGTTTAATAACGACATTTTTGATGGTCGATAATTGTGGCAGTGCAACGCGTTCATGAGGGGTGCGATTGACAATAAGTTATTGTTTCCTTGATATTTATAAGAAAATATGATTTTATATTGTCAATGGAAGATTGTAAAGTTGTTTATTACTGGGCTTAGTAATAAATTTATAAATGTTTGGTGACTATTGTTTTCCTAGTCCATATCCTAACTTTTTTGTCCGAACTCTGAAAGACAAAACTGACATTACGTTATGATGGCTACTCTTGTTTTGTCTCTCTTGATTCTAGCTCCTAAAGGACTCAAAAGAATATATGCATTCTTGGCCTCCGAATTCGAGTTTAAACATGTTTTAATCCATCGTTAATTGTAAATCAAATCCTATGAGATCATTTCATTTGAGTTTTTATCGGTTTAAACATATTTTAGGAATATATTATATATATATGGAAGTCTTCAAACGTTACAACCAGACGAAACAGTCAGGTTTATCTGCTTTAGGCATAAATTGTATTTACCAACTTTGAAATAACTTTTTTATAATTCTTTTTTTTTTAATGCAATTCAACTTAAATATTGATTTCCACTTCAAACAGTTCTTGACTGTGACTCGAGCGCCACTCAAAAGTATATGTAAACAAAGCGTCTGGCATATCAAATTATCAACCTGATGTCTTTGACGAGTCTTTTTTTTACTTGTTTTCCAATGCCTTTTAGTACAGACGAAATAACAAAATAGGTTTGAATGAAAGCAACTAGACCAAAATAATAATTAAAATATTTTTAATTGATGGAGTGAGCATAAGAACAAGTTAAATAGTTTACCTCTTATTTGAAGTTGAAGTGGTTTACTGTATCCAGTGCCTATGGAATTGGAAACTGAACAAACATAAGTCCCGGAATCACTTTCTTTAGTACCATATATAATTAATGCAGGACGTCCAATGGTACTTCCGTTATATTTCGTCGAACTGGGCACAGAAATTCTAACACCATTCCTTGTCCAGGAAACATTTGTTGGTGTTGGATAGGATTCATGAGGACACGGGAGTACTAGATCAAGTCCTTTGTTTATCTCAAACATTTCGTTAGGCGTAGACACGAGTGGATTATCTGTAAATTTATAATGAATATTTCAATGCCTGCAGAATTTAACAATGTTCACGCAATAATGATATTTGAGCGCATTACATGTTTTCGTTCATATTCAAAACGGACTTTGTTTCACAGTTCACACATATGTACATTTAACAATATTGAATATATGCGGATAGAGATTGCTGACTGTCAAATCTGTTTCCGTTGTTTGATTTGTTATACGTCATTCTGTTGGTATTTTCGTTTGAATTGTTTCACATTTTGTCATGTCAGGGACTTTTAAAGGTTTTGATCAATGTTGAAGGCCGTACGGTGACCTTTATTTGCTTAAATTCACTTCATTGCGACTCTTTCGGATAGTTGTTTCATGACAGTAATACCACATCTCCTTATTTTATATGAAATGTTGGGAAAACGTAATAAAATATTTGCGGATACGTAAAACGCCTTAAAATGAATATAAAATTGTAAAAGGATTTATGATTGAAGATAAAGAATTCTATCATCACCTAGTTTAAGTTATTTGAGCATACTATGGGTAAATATGTATATATTTGTTTTTGATATTTTTGTCAAAGTTCAGGATAAAGATATATTTGGTTTGTACAAACACGATTTTAGACGACCACTGGTATGTTCTTAACGGCCTCTTTTCACCAAATTTGATCTCACTAGGAAGAACATCATGACGGGTGTCAAACATGGATCAGGATCTGCTATCTATCCTGAAGTTACAGAGATCAGCCTACGTTTTGTTTAAGATGGATGTGGGTTGCTCTTGTGTTATTCTTCAGTGTTGTACTTTCTACATTTTTATTTCATGTCTTGTCTATCTTCTTAATATCTTCCGCCTCTTTTTTCACAAAGTCTTTACAAATAAATACACACGAAATTAATAATTTAAATTAAATGCATCCGAATAATGCTGTTCTCTTAAAACAATTTTCAATTATTTGGTCCTGTAAGTCTGCAATTTTTTGTCTAAACTCACTTGAGACATGTATACATTGGATACCATTATAGTTGTCTTATCGCTTAACTATTCTCGATAGCAACATTCGATCCGTGATGAAGGCCGTACTTTGACCTATAACTGTTTACTTTTTATACACTGTGACTTGGATGGAGAATTGTCTCATTGGCCCTTATACTACAATTTCTTATTCGTAATTGAGTGTTGATTCGCATGGTGAGTGATGGATTAATCGCAGAAGATGCTTACCTTGTCAACCTTTTAAACATCGGTAAACTACTGTCTTATAATTCATTTAAACTAATTACGTTTTGCGTTTTACCTTTGACTTTAAGCTGCAATATGTTGCTCAGTGCAGTTACAGTTTCCAAACTTGTTTCACATGTATAGTTTCCTTTATCAAAACGAGTAAGTTTCTTGATATGCAGTGATTGCTGACTGACTATCTTGATTTGTTCACCATTTTGTCGCCAAATAACCTGACTTCCACCAGAAACTTCACATTGTATTGTGATTGATTCATTTGCCGTTCGTATTAATTTAAGGTCTCCTCTGATCGTAGCAGCTGCAAATGATATACACAGTCCAGTTATCGATAAATTGTAAAGAAGTGGTTGGTAATACAGGCCTCAAAATACAATGAAAATTTAAGAACTTTTAGTGAACAATCTACCATACTCTTCGCCTCTTTATAGATTATGATTAAAAAAAATCAATAGGGATCTTCATCTTTATCCTATTTTTAGAAATGACTTCATATCCAAAATAAAGCAGAGATCCTCTATTAACAAATCCAGAAATCAGTGTTTTTTGCACAAATGCCAGTCTCTTTTTTTGGTAAATTTGAACTTGACCTTGAACAAAGTAACATCAAAAGCTACAGTGATTTGTCTCTAAACAGCTGATGTGCGCATACAGTAAAACAGGGTTTCAATCCCTTATGTAGTTTTTGTTTAAACATTGGGAAACCACTTTTCTGCGCAAATGGTGGTATTATTTTTAGTAACTTTTACCTTGATCTTTGAGGTATTGACCTCAAAATAATTAGATCTCCCTCTCATTATATGTAACAATATATAAATGAAAGGTTGCAATTGTATAATGTAGTATTCGTTTGAGCATCCATAAACAACTTGTTCAGTGTATTGTTAGTATCTATGAATTTGGCTTTTACAATAGCAACCTAAAATCAAAAGAAGGTTTCCTATTATTATATGTGGTCATATATCAAGACAAGTTTTGAATCCCATAGATAGTATTTGATTTAGCATTTTAAAACCGAATTTTAGTCAAGTTGCCTTTATTTCAACCTTGAGCCTTAATGTATAGACCTCAACATTCTTCTTCTCATTACATCTGACAATATATCCAAGTAAGGTTGCTACCAATGTAAAGTATTTGAGTAAGCATCTTGAATCGATAATGATTGACAAACTAACCAACGGATGGACTGACGGGTAAAAAAATATATACTTATGTCACTTTTTTGCTGGGTGTATAACATTTTAATCTGTAAAAGCAGAGACCAGGGGTGTTTTTATTATTTACTCGACTGTGCTTTTTTGAACGAATTTTCTATTCAACTGTTGATATGATTTTAAAAAAAAATCACACAAGACAATGCAATTGTTAGCATAACATAACCATAGAGCAAAATGAATCTGGTAAGACATCGTGAAGGGAGAACAATTCAACTTAATATTTTAAAGATGAAATTACAAATGTAGTTTTTTCATTGCAAACCTGTAGTATAAATTATTTTTAACGACAAAGCTTTGCAATAACTGAGTCAATGAATTGTATGGCAACATGTATTTGATATGAATTAAATCACTGATTCAATTTTAAAAAAGGATATGACATAATATTGAAAGGTCGTAACACATATCATACCAATAATACACAACGGAATAGAAAAAAAACTATATCAACCTTGATAATGTAGACTTGAAAAATAAGTTTTAAGTCGTGTAGGCATTCTATTGTTTGCATTGGATACTAAACAACGGCTTCTTCTTAATTTACCTACAGGTACAAAGTTAACGAGCACTCCATTTTGCCGTTGTTATTCAAATAAATAAATTAAACGAATAAATGTAACTATTTGATGAGCAACTCCAATACATAAAATCATTGCTGGCATTTACGACGACATAGAAACGTTATATGAGAATTAACTTGAAATTCCGTTTTGAACTATCGGCAGCTAAATATACAAAGTGTAATGATTACTTCTAAAACAAATCAGCAACAATATAAGGCAAAGCACTCACAAACAACTTTCAACGTGGTAGAATCGCCATGGTCCCCATAACTATTCTTGACATAGAGTGAGTAATTCCCTGCATCTTTGGGTTCGACATTTCTAATCGTAAGAAATGGGTTATTTATACTTCCAAATGTTTTACGAGTGCTATTTGAGATATCTGTTGTCCCTTGTTTCCATTCCATTATTGAACCCGGATGAGCATTCCTAACTATAACACTAATGGTCACGTTACAACCTACTCTAATGATGTGGTAGCCCTGGCTGATTTTAACTAGAGGAGGACCTGTGGAAAAATCAAATAATGTATGATGACAACAATTTATATCAGTGTTGAAAATCGAAACAAAAGACAAAGCATGTCCTAACTTTGCTGAACTAGGAAACTCTACTTTTAAATTCTAATAATGTTTGCGCATCATTCACTTAAAATATCCATGAAAGAATTGCAAACAAAAAGTGTGAGTCATCTAATAAAGACTTTTGTCAACTGTCACTCTCTTATAGAGAAAATTTTGAAATAATTGATGCATACCCTTAATATTGGCGTATGTTTTATAACTCATAATTTGAAGTATCTTGATGATTTTTATCTACAATTTGGTATTTTCACTCAAGTATTCATAGCAAACACTCTAATTGTGCGAACTCGATTCTACCGTTCTAAGTAAAAGTGGGACCAAACATACCAGAGGGACAGTCAAACTCATAGATCGAAAACAAACTGACAACGCCATGGCCAAAAATAAAAAGACAAACAGACAAATAATAGTACAGATGACACAACATAGAAAACTAAAGACTAAGCAACACGAATCCCACCAAAAACTTGGGGTGATCTCAGGTGCTCCGGAAGGGTAAGCAGATCCTGCTCCACATGTGGCACCCGTCGTGTTGCTTATGTTATTACAAATCCGGTAAATAGTCAACTCTGTAAGTCACATTCGTGAAAAGGGAAGGGTATTGTAGTTACGACATAAGGAACATATCCGATATCATCTGTGAAACGGTTATTCCATAACGGTCAACCAACTCGTGATGGCGTCCGTAAAATTTACGAAGGGATGATTTCAACTTCACCATTTGGAACTCTTGGCTTAATAGCTTCCTTGTGAGCAGCAATCCCCTATCAAGGAAATCATGATAGGAAACACAAGCCCGGGAATATCGTATCAATTGGGAGATATATACTCCGTATGCAGGCGCTGCTGGAATGTTGCTACATAGAAATGGAAAGTTCACAATTGGGAAGCTGAAATCATCTCTTTTGTCGTAAAGTTTTGTTTTCAACCGACCCTCATTGTCAATTTCTAGATGTAAGTCAAGATATGAGGCAGACTTAACTGTATCTGTAGTATCCTTTATCTCTAGTTCGATGGGATAGATTCGTTCAACATAGTCACCAAATTTTGTATTATTTAGTGAGAGAACATCATCTATATAGCGGAACGTAGAGTTAAAGGATATTGCTAACGTTTCACGAATAGAGTGTCATGTTTGATAATTTGAAATTGCTTTTCTGACGCGAAAGATAAAATATATTAAGAACATTTATGAATTTGTTTTCATGAAATTATTTAACCAATCTAATATTGATTATTTTGATTAACATAAACATAGATTGTAAAAGATCTTTTAATAATGTAACCACTTTATATAAAATCTCCCAACTAGTTTACATCTGTTATAATTTCTATTTATCTATATATACGTCTTGAAATTATGAAAAAAAAATATTGTAGAGAAGATCACATATAGACAACAAAAATCAAAATACTATGGGCAAAATAAACAGGAAGAAACGACAATAACAGTAAAAAAAAGACCAAACAGTTGTTAAATATTTATATTTAGTACTACGAATCCAATTAAAAACCGGGATATGCTTCAGAAAGGTAAGCAGTTCCTTCTCTAATAATGACAATCATCTTGTTGCTAGAACCAATTAAACAAATCGATATTAAGTAGCATTGCAGTGTGTGTCCAATTGGTCTACCTGACACTCTCGTTTGTGCTAATGAATATACTTGGCAACAGCGTCTTTAAAGAGGAAAACACTATCGCGTATTAGATCATACCCAACTAAGAAATGAAGCCTCAATAAAGGAGTGTATATACCGGAGATTAGTCTTACTACAAGATGCATTATCCGAATGATGATCTTACGGAGAATCGTTTGTTCGACAGTAGATATTCATTTGTAGCAATCGAATTCAGTTTGTTAAAAAAAATTATAAGGATCTCAACAAATATTGCAAAGGAGTCACACCAAACAGCCAAAGGGGACCAACCATTCATCATATATCCCCAACTGAACTGTATTTTTCGTGATAGTTCTCCTTATAAAAACGTCTTTACATTCAACAAACGGGATTATAAACACATTTCTAAAGCAAACAAAGTCTCATTGTACCGTTAGCGAATCTCAGACAGCAGACAACCCTCATGGAGTCTCTAAATGATACGAATTGCTTATCAATCGGAAAATTACCTACATAGACACTAGAGATGCACGACCACATCAGTCTTGTGAATAATATACCAACATTATTCAAGTGGCTTTCATGTAGCCTGTGAACGAAAAGGAGAATTAGTAAGTAAATATGTTCATAATTAAAGAGTTACAAAACAACTATTTGGGCAAATGGTTATCTTCCAAAAGAAAGTTTCCCTCTTCATATGCATCAAGATTCCGAAAAAACGACTGCTTCGACACTATATTTTACCCCTAAAATAGCAAGCATTACACGCTGTAATAAATGGTACTGTTACTGAAGAATTAACTACCGATCTTGTGCTATTCATACACAAGAACAGGGAGAATTAACTCATCATAGATACCAGTCAGCGATAAACTTAACATAGATTAGATGCAAAAAAATCCATCGTAAAATGAGTATTAAAGTACTTACTTCCAACAAATAATGTAGTTGATTTTTTCTCTTCTGAATATTTGTTTTGAGCAATACAACTGTAAATATCTGCATCTTCGTTAGTAATAGATTTTATTCTCAGCAGCGATCTGGACGTTGCTCCGTAATGGAACGATAACACATATCTATCACTATTTGATATTTCTACCTGACCAGTAGTTGATGTAGGTCCTTTTTTCCATACAATGTTATGTATATCAGGGGAAGAACGATAAATATAACATGTTAATTCGGCATCAGATCCTATGCGGTTCTCATATTTCACAGGAAGAGAAAGTTTAGGTCTTCCTGAAACAGGATAATTTAGTACCTTTTTAACAAGTGATAAAACATAAATGTACGAATCAAAGAATAAAAATCAACACAAACTAATTCGTCAAACTTTCGTAAAAATCAAAAGTTTTTGTATAATGAACATCAGAAAATTATTTTAGCAACAATAATAAATAAATATTATTTCTAGAAAAACAATGTTTAAATGATCACGCTTCTTTTTCATATTTATGATTTCAATGGCAAGTTTAAATCATATTGAAAACCGCATTTGGTGATAAGTAATTTATAAGGGAAAAATATAATTGTGGATTCAAATTATTTAACATATCAGTGATCATCTGTGACTCAGGTTTTCCTTCAAGATCAACAATGGATGATATACTATGTATAAAAAGAAGCAGAAAATACTAAAAGGACAATACATACGTCGAAGAAAAACAGAAAATACATGTCCTGAAAGAAAAACGACAACTTGACCAACAATGGTCATCAGAACAATACACAGCAAACTAAAGACAATCCACAGAACCTCCTAAAATCCGTTTTGTTCACCTGCGCTATGGAGGGGTAACACGTTGTTCTACTAGTAGCACACCGTCTTGTTGTCCAAGGCAGTTAAAGTTTCGTTGATAAATCGCATTCGTTCTTGTCACCTTAGAGAATGGGAATATGGTTTCGACAATTAGAGAAATATGAATAAGAAAAACATGCTCTTAATATCTTACAAAGAGGTAAACATGTACTCATACGGATATATGTGTTGAACATAAACATGGAACATCCACATGAGGTATCTGTTATGGCTCTGCAGTTGTCAAACAAATCTTTCTTTTGATCTTTTTAAGATGAGTATTGTTCTGAATTCGAATTGGAATTTCACTGATTAACTTCTCGGTCATAAATTGGCATTACTATTTTGTTAAACTAACTATTATTGAATCGAAATAATTGATATGCACGATTTGTCCGTCAATATAATTTCATTTACTGTAAGAACCATGTTAAAACGTTTCGTTACACATTTTTAAGTATCAACATCTTATTGTCAAATTATTTCTACTTATTCAGTAAGTAATACTTAACACATACATTAATGCGTGTTCCATTATCTTCTTTAACTATTCCTTTGGGTGCTACTTGTATGTTTGTTTAATAGTTATTCTATAGTCACATTTCTGTTATGAATTTGTAATCTTGCAAAATTCTTGAAGTATGTTTTCTGAAGTTTTAACTTCAATGAGATTCAGGCAAGGGAACTGACAACATGCGCCTAATTTATAAATAAAACTTGTGTCTAATTCTACTAGTGGAGTTAAAGCAAGTGATGTCAGGCAAATGGCTAGATCTATGTCATTGTCTATCGCAATCATCACAAATCTTTGTAACAGGTCGTGTTGCATCTCGTTAATATCGTCATTTCAGTAACCAGTATCCCGATTACATTGTTGGTGGAGGAAACACAGAGTTGTGTCAACTTTTTAGTTTGACATACAATACCAGTACATTAAGCAGCAAATTAATTTTGGTTATCAACGTATTTTAGGCGATGGAATGTATTTCAATACATTAAAGGTGAACGTGGACTTTTTATTTTCGTCAAAATGCAATGGGTGTCTGGTGTTTGTCAGCAATTTGTCAACTGCAATTGTTTTGCATTCCTATTGGAATGACCTGTGCACCCCTCCTAGCCCATCTTTTCATAATTGAATTTGAGTTGGAGTTCCTTCAACCACTTTTAAAAACAAAACCAAAGAAGCTAGATCATTTAAATGTACATACACGCGTAAGTTTACTGGTAATGTTTTCTCCACTTACAGTCCAAACGTTTCTGATTGAGTCCTATAGATATATCCACCTGGACTATATATTAATGAAACACCTGACACAGCTTACTCCTCCTCATTTTAAGATGTATATCTCAAGTATGACGTCAGTGGTCACCTCCTGAGTATCAGAGTCTATGACAAACGAGATGATTTCGATTTTGAGATTCTAAATTTTCCTGACCTTCGTAGCAATATAACAACTTCACCCGCGTATGGAGTATACATTTCTCAACTCCTCCGATATTCAAGAGCTTGCAGCTGCTACTAATGCTATGTCAAACGTTATCACTATCTGTGTCAGAGATAAAAGATAACCAGCTAGAGCTTTGTCTAAAAGCGTCTATTTAAAACGTTAAAAATTTGAATTGGTGGGAATAGTGCTGAATTTGCAATGTTTACAACGGTTTTAGACCATTCAAATTTCCGTTATTTATTGTTTTTTTCACATTCAACAAATGAATATGCATATACACATGATGGTAGTAGCACACACATGAAATATAAAAGTGGGAGGTCGAAAACAATGCGCTTTCTGACTATCTCAGTGATCTTTTCGATTTAGTAAATAAGATAGTTTATGATTTGAATAGAAATTCCGTTTTTAACAATGAATATATGTGAACAGCGATGTAAAAGTAAAGATGTTATGAATATTGACTCTATGGACAAGGAAAGGCGATCACGAATATCTTAGACTTTGTAATATGCAAAATTACTTGTAACATGGGATCAACTTAATATGATTTGCGATCGATGTATCGGGAAACGACATATGGATTTTCATATCCTTTGCAGACCAAATTTCTCAGCTTAAAACATGTGCCAGGTGATATACAAATACACTTTTAGAATATCGTTATTCAAAACATGTTATGATTTTAATCAAAATCGCAAGTTATACGAGTTTTCGTACAATTTTGTTTCAAACGAAATATAATTCAGTTCCAATATATCTGAAAGACAAGAAAGAACATTGCTTTCGATACAATTTAGGTTTTGCTTCATTCCGTTTTGACGATAATTATCTTAAATTAACCGAACTCTAACAAATTTCCGTTGTAGGTCATATGTAGGCATTTATGATTGATTACATAGAAATAAGAAGATGTTGTATGAGTGCCAATAAGACAACTCTCCATCCATGTCACAATGTGTAAAAAGTGAACAGTTATTGGTCAAAGTACGGCCTTCAACACGAAGCCTTGGTTCACACCGAACAACAAGCTATAAAGGGCTCCGAAATGACTAGTGCAAAACCATTCAATCAGGAAAACAACGATCTAATCTATAAAAAACGAGAAACACTTATAAACCACATCAACAAACGACAACCACCTAACAACAGGTTCCTGACTTAGGACAGGTGCAAACAAATGCACCAGGTTTAAACGTTTTAACTGGCGCCAACCTTCACCCTAACCTGAAATAGTAGTGTAACATTACAACATAGTAAGACACACTATACAATATCAATTGAAATGACTTAACTCAAACAAAATACATATTAACAAAAACAAGTAAACATTACGTTTAAAGAACGAATTGCCTATTCAGTTAAACCAGTGATTTTTTCTTAAAATGTTGTCTCAAGGTATTTCATGATTTTAGGAACAAAATATGATGAAATAAATTGGGGTTCACAGACTTTGATTTGTCACTTTAGCAAGCTTAGTATTATGTTTTTCCCAAAATAAACATAATTTGTTTTGTTATTTTAAGCTTCATTCAGATAGAACGTACAACCGTAAGTTTTTTCTTACCTTAAACAGTAGATTTTAATCTATCTATTACAGATTTCGGAGTGTATGTTCGTGGGTGTTCTGATGTTAAAAAGTATGATTTATTTCACTCCCGCCAAAAATAATATGTGAGAATGAAAAACGGTTCCAGTTTAAAACAATATATATGTACTAATTTTTCTAGCCTTGTATAGTCGTTCAAATATAGCACCACCAAAGTATATATCACCTACCTTTTATAAAAGTTATGAGTAATTTTCATCTTTTTTTCGATTCATTTAAAAAAAAAAGTTGCCTTTCTTCAGAACACTGAATCTGACGTGATAGTACAGATTTCCCTCAATTTTGCTCAAATATTGCAAACTGCACGTTTGAAACCCACATTCAAATGTTCAATATTAACAACAATATTCACTAACTTAATTATCCCATAATACAATAGTATTGTATGTATCAGTATCTGTCAGATTACATTATGTTGCACAATTATTATTACACTATTTTGTTTGAGATGGTGGCCTATGCAAAAAATCAACTGGTCGCATTTTTTTATCATTTAGAAATATTCTAGAGATCAATGTATGACTAAATAGTTGCAAGTACATTCCTTTGAACACCAAATTAAATAATAAGAAACACCAATACGACCCATCGATAAAATACCATATTATCTCAACCATGCTGGATTAGCATCTCTACATGGTGGAGGAAAAGAAACATAACTTTTATTCTGTGGCTAAAGGTCGTACAACACGACTATTCACATCCTGGAATCTGTTTAATAAAACAAATTTAACGGCAAGGGTTTTCTGGTGTTCACTCAGTAGATGAATCAATAGACTTTTTGACCACTCATTTTCTTGTGAAGCATTTCCAATATTCGAAGAAAAATGCCATAGTTGCGTCCCCTTACCACTATGGCGCAAAACATTTGAAGACAATACAAAAGACGAAAAACTGACCCTAATATGTCTTTATTGGTCTAATTCGGTAAAATGTATGCATAAACAGTGCCACTTATCTATGAAGCATGTCCAGAAAAAACTTTTATAGTGTAGCCCGCGGTTTTACGACCGGGATCTTCACTGACTGGTCGAAGTGTGAACTCAATGTCCACCGCTTTCGCCATGCCGTGTATAAAGGCTTCAAAACAATAGACGAAACCATTCAGTTTCTTATAGCTGGTAATACTTATCAATCGTGTAATGGTATCCCAGTATATGTTGACACAACTGTGCTTAAATCTCTCACAGATTTCGGACACGCCTGTCCTAATGACACGAACTGTACAATCGATATCTGTGATCCTTCATTCACCATCTCAGTTCAACAAACGCTATCTCAGAATCTAACTAATGAAAACATTAAGCCAATAGTTGATTATGAGAATACATTGTACTGATCCAAAACAATTGATATCAGAATACAAAAACACAACCCCTTCAGA